AAAAATACGATTAAATATATTGAAGTTATATATGAATTACATATATTGAAATGCAATTGAAATTATAATTATCTGATAGTAATTCCGGACAAAGAGTTGACACAAAAATAGGGAAAAATATAGAAAATAAGTGTTTGTGAGGCTAAACACAAAATGTCACAATAAAGTGATGCAACTATTGTTGGACTTAATGAGTCATTGGTTCAATAGTTTCTTCCCTGTTGGATCAATGTATTGATTCCGGCGTTCATCTGCTTCTCCTGAACCGACTGTTTGTATTCAATGATAGCGTCAGTCAAATCATTGATGATCTGTTTGGCGACACGAATGTCTTCGTCGCCCTCCAGTTTGCAGGCCTTGATCTGCTTGAGAGCCTGTTTCAGCACTTCTGTCTGTTGGCCCGACTCGACAGTAATGATGTCGGACTCGACATCGACCTGAGTCTCATCAGGAATGGTCACCTTCTCGTGTCTGATCTCGAAGTCTCCTCTGCCGTACACGAGCTCCAACTCTTGAGCTCTTCCCTGAGCCATACGCATGAGCGCAACGTTACGATTGGCTCGACGGCCGTCGGGCAACAGATAAGTCTTCGCCTGATTTGGGTATTTGTTCGCCTAATATATGCAATCAAAGCGTTAATTAATGGCTAATCAAGTGATAATGAGTGCGTGGATTGGCTTACAATGAAGCGGACGCGATGGTTATAACCGGTCACGTGTTCCATAACCGAAGCGCACGTATTGAACTGTTTGCAGAGCCGGCAGTAGTAGATCCGGGGAGACATACCCTCGGGATCGATGTACTCAATCATATACTCGAGTCCTATTTGAAAGCGCGTTTAAATGAGTGACACTCTTGTGTTTACCACACAAAGACATACCAACGACTGGGTGTTTAGTGAGAGTGAGTTGGGCGTCAAGAGTGGACTTATTGTTCAATACCAGATCAATGAGAAGCGCGTCTTTGCGCGGAACTGCATGTCATGGCAAATAACACTCAAATTAAATCATCACTCAATCAATCAAATCATTCACTCAATACAAACCTATGTTTCCGTTGATAATCAACTGTTGGACACAAAAAGACAATACAATTATCAGTTATATATACCGTCACTCATGAGTGATATAACAAGTGATATAATTACCGGCATATCTCTCTTATCTCTATTCTTCCTCCGCATCGGCGCCGGAAATACCTGTTCGCCCTCATTGTTGGGATCTGTTGTGAATATCAATCAATACAAATCAATGCCACTCTTTAGAGAAGGATGACAATCAAAAGTGACAATCAATAAATCAAATCAATGGTCAAACCGTTGGTTCTCTTCTCGAGGATGTCCTGCACTTTAGTGCCCATCTTCTCCCACGTCATGTCCTCCACCTTCAGCGGCGTGTCATCAGTGATGCGATTGAACTCTGACCTCAAGTCGTCCAACGAAGAGGTCGGGTTGATCTTCGGGATGCGACCCATTTGTGGCGATCGCCGGCCACCGTATGACTGCTGTCGAGGGGGTGACCCGTCTCTGGCATACATTCCCGACTCAGTGTTGTTGTCGCGTCGATTCCCCCCGTAATACGAAGAGTAGGCCATCGCTGGAAGTGTTGGAAGTGCTGTCAATCGATACAAATGGAGATTTCTTTTGTCTTTTGCACACAAATCTCAAATCTGGACATTTAATACTCAAAGCGTTTGACGATTACTGCGTGTATTCCCACTATATATTCCCAATATCTTCTCAATTATGGTATACTGTATTGAATGGAAAATTGTGAGAAATTCCCTATTATTTTGGGGAATGTTTTAACCGTTAATTACTTTTGTTCATAAATATCGCAAAATGTAATGAAAATTGTGTTATTTTCAATTTAAACCACAATTAGAGAGCAATTAGAGAGTAATTAACTGATTTTGTTTATTAATTTACACACAATTATGATTTGGACTGTAATAACGAGTTAATTGGCAAAAAACAAACAAATATTGAATTTATTGATTGAATAAAAGTTGATGTAATAATCGCCACGTTTTGGTACTTTTACTGTCTATATATAGGCATTAGTTTAAGCATTGAATGCGTTGTCATAAAAAGTGTCAAACATTTCTAATACATGCCATCATTTGTAACGCCAATGAGTTTGGGGCCGATTATAGGCCGGTTTTGCACAAATACAGCCACATCTCTGTGAGGGTATGAAAACTTGACGCATAACGCGCTCTGACTGTAGTATGAAAATTAGGAAAAACTTAACAATCCAGGTAGTTTTATCGTTTTTACTAAATAAATCAAATTAAAATTATAAATGCATTTAAATAAATCATTTGTTTAATTGAATTATTTTATTGTTAGTACTGTATAAACACTTTTAATAGTAGTATATTTGATAAAATTGTGGTCAATGTTGATGATAATGGGCTAACGGTTACTAAAGTTATAATTAATTTTAATTAACAATTTATTAATAGATCACATAAAAAGGGTTAAATGTGACCTCAAATATATGAGTAATTTGTTTAGTAATAATAGTTTAGTCAAAAACTGAATACATTTATAAAAGTATATAAAATCCGATAAAATATGTAAAAATCACTTTTGGTATCAAAAATAATTATTTTTTCGAAATCTCTTGAATAACATTCAAATCAAACTTCAATTTTGTTAATAATTTCGATTTGGAGTTAATTTCTTTCAATTCACGACAGATGTGTAAATGTATTTACTTTTAGCCGATGTCTCAAAAGAGTCCATTAATTGCAATACATTTAATATCTTGATATTACTGTCGTCGAAGACTTGCGCGAAATCAATTGATCCCAATTGTCTCTGATTCGACACATTCTTCGGGTTCACTGATATTATGTTCAATTGCGAGCCTTTAATGATCCATAAGTACTGATCGACTAATGGTATGGATAAGAGAATCAATGGATTAACACAATGGGATCAAGTGATGGCAATTTGGACACAAACCGGTATCGGAGGAGAATCGGCAGCGAATCGGACACAGATTGGTCTCCTCTTGAATGGCCTCCGATGTGGACCTCAACGGCACTAACGGCAAGATCTGTGTGACACAAGTGGCCGACAATTCGCGAGCCATTGGATCCGATGGTGATGTCGAGTGACCACTGATTTAATGGTTATATAAATCGTATAAAAATGTGTTTTTCAATCAAATAAACAAATGTTTGTATTATTGAACACATTGTGAGCGCCACTCATATATACTGTTACTCATTGTCTATGTCTACCACGTTGTGCGCCCATTACTCATACACGCTGTAGTGCCATACTATTGATTGCATTATATCATATACAGTATGTCATATAAATTGCGACACTATTTTTATTTGAATAAATTTGGCGCTTCGTAACAATTGTGTTACTTTACTGTTAAAGATATTATATTTTGATGCTGGTCACTTTTATGCTTATTAAATCATCAAAGCAGTATTCGCTGTATTATTATAATATATAACTACCGTAGTTTTCTAAGCTTTAATTTAGTATATAGTATGTTAGTGAAGATAAACTAATATGGCTAAAATCTTCATTTAAACTGAACCCTATAATCATGAATTGTTAGCCAATGTATTTAGTTGTGGTAATTTTGAAAGTTAGATGAGAGAGAGAGAGAGAGAGAGAGAGAGAGAGAGAGAGAATGTTGGATACGACGACTTCTTGGTGTGGATTAACTTTTGTTGTCTTAACTCTTGTTAGAGAAGAAGCAATGGTTTAAACGCTAACAAAAACTTTTAATTTAAAAATTTAATAGCAATTTAATGAACAGAAAAAGTGTTCAAACAAAACAAATGAATGTAATTTTATCCGTAAAATCTGTTTCTCTGAAGTATAACATTATATATTAAATAAAATTATTTTATAAAAAGTATATAAATTTTTAGGTTTTGATTTGATTTACAATTAAATTAGAAATGAATTGATTTATAGGTCTTTATATAAAAAACTTCAACCAATAGTTGAGATGTTATGATAGAAGTCGACAATAAAATATGTATTTAATAATTAATAGTCGAAAGCAAATAATTTCCTAATAAGTCCATGGATTCAATGGTAATCATATATTTCGATGTATTATTGCATCAAATAATGGGTGGCTTTCGCTGAATGTCTGAACGCAAGACATCGCTGTCGGCTCTCATTACTGGACTGACAGACGAGGCCTGAGATTGAGTCCAAACGCCGGACTCAGGCGGAGAGCTTTTGCTGATTACGTCAGTTCCCATCTGATTAGTAGAGGAGGACAGTGTCGACCCATTCCGTCGGTGAGGCTTTGCATAGGAGGCCAATGGGTTGGGCAGCCATCGGGTGCTGCGTTTGGTCTCGTTGTCAATCTTCTTAAATAGAGATTCGGACGGAACTAATGCTGGAAACCATTTCCGGAACTTTTTGAATACCAAATAATCGACAATAAATGACTGAAACATAATTAAAAGTCAATCAATTAGTTATCATTTCATTGCTATAATAGGTATTGTTTAAGACAAACCTCAGCAAAGAAGGCAAGGATAAAGTGAGCGATGGATAACAACACCATTAATACGCGAAAGTTTAGCGGAATAGCCTCGACGTCCAGCTAACATTTCATGGCTATAATAGGTATTGTTTAAGACATACCTCAGCAAAGAAGGCAAGGATAAAGTGAGCGATGGATAACAACACCATTAATACGCGAAAGTTTAGCGGAATAGCCTCGACGTCCAGCTATTGGGGGTTTCAATCATTCATTCAGTTAATTAATTTTCCAGTAATTTTTGTATTAATACTAATAAATACCTCAAGGAATTCGGCAATACTATCGGCCGGATATATCACTAAATAGGCGCTCAATGCACTCATAGCAACCAAACTCGTGGTAAATAAGCCTTCGGTTAATAATAAATGAGATAAAATGATAAATTTAAATAAAATTACAGCTATTAAAAGATTGATTGCCATACGATTGGTATAGATAGGCCTCCGATAAGGCGCTCCCTTCGAAAAGACAACGGAAAGAGTGATGTACTGGAAGACGGAAGAGGCGAAGATGGCGTAATTGTCATGACTTTTGAGGTCTTCTGGATCGCTGGTCTTATGCGGTCTATACCAGTACTGTTGCCATACGATTACAATAGCAATCACTTGTATGAATGCCACCAAAAGTATCTGCAATGCTATGGAAGACAATGGAGTGATTCCGATGAGAGAAGAAGGCGGAGGCTTTCGGTTCAACTGATCGAACGCTTCCGTACGACCGACTAATTCAGACATCAAATGAAACAGTCTTTGAGAACAATTGATAAATTGATAACTCGATTGTCATTGTCTTACAGAGTGTGACAAAGAGAGTAATGAGAAAGAGATCTTCGTATAAAAACTCTTTATCAGTCAAATTGGAATAAAACTTTAAAGCAATGAAAGCAAGAATCGGTTAGATTTGCATTCATTATATAAAAGGTATGAAAATCGTTGCAAAGTGTGGTAACACTTACGGTGTAGAGGATTATAACCGAGAAGAATTGTGTCAAACTGTATAACGCCATGTATTTCAATATACCAAATGAGGTGACAATAGAGGCCCGGCCTTCGCGTATGAGGATTGGTATACACGATATGTTTGGCGTTTTCGACGTGAAGGGCGACGCGACCGACGCCTCCGCCTCAGATAAGCTGACCCCCGCGTGCGCCTGCTTTAGGCTCGCCATATCATTGGCCCCATCGCCGCACTAATTCAATGGTTAGAAAATCATCATTTGGTTAATTTGACGCACATTTGTACCACAATTAAACTCAAGGAATAAATCAGATTAAAGTAATTAATTAAGAAAATTTATATTATCTAAATATAATAAATGCCGCAATATAAGCATAAATTATACAGTATAATCAGTTATAAACTTATTAAAGGATCTTGGGAAGTAATTACTGTTTTATGACTGTAATTACTAATTCAAAGCAAATCTATCAAGTTCAAAGATATGAACTTCATATTATGAAGCCCTCAGATAACTAAATTATACAAAACAACTTATTATAAATTCTTAGAATATAAGAATAATGTGAATGAAATGATAGGAATACTAACCATTCCCACAATATATCCCAATTCTTGCAAAAGCTCAACGAGTTGTTGCTTCTGTTCGGGTGCCATACGTGCGAATACGGTTCCTCTTATGGCCACTTTTTTGAGCAAATCCGGGTAATAGTCGCGCAATATCTTGAATGTCTTGCCAGTGATGGCCACATGAAGTCTATCCTTCTCCTGGCCGTCAATAAGTTTGAAGTTCACTATAGAATGTCTGCGTTTTGTCACCGGATTTGCAAACTTCCAAATGAGTG